TCACTCACTCTCACTCTCCCACTCCCTCTCATCCACACTCACACCCACCTTCACTTCATCACCACCATCACCTCTCTAGACCCCAATGCATCTAAATCTCTAGATTTTCTATTTACAAATCTTTTGCCGAAATAAAATTTAAATATTTTTAATATAATATATTATCAAAATATAACTAAAATAAGATTAATTTAAAAAATATATATATACCAATATATGTAATATTAAATCAAAAGCATATATATTCAAAATATAATTCCATTACGATTATTATGCATTATATTTTAATATCGTATTATATCGCACAATTCAAATTCCAATAAAAATATTCCATCAATAAAATGTACAATCGAAATTACGCAATCGACATTTTTTTCTTATCGGATATTAATATTTTATCAAATGCATAGATGTTTTTTATATATTATTATTAATCTAGTGTTTATCAATCCTATAATATTTAATACCTAGTATAGTGTCTTCAATATATGAGGAATTATCTTTATTATATTTTGAATAGAATTATTCTTCTTCATTGGTAACATTATATGCTTCTCGAATTGCTCGGTAAATTTCCTCCTGCTATACATCCAACAAATTCCACATCGCTTTTTGGTGAAGATGTTCATTCTTGTTCAAATACAATGCCCCACATGCTACCCATTATGCTCCCCAATGGTTTCTCTCGGTTGGCCAAACATCAAACCTTGGACATGCTTATCGCTACTAGGAGAAAGGACGCTGCTAGTGGCTCCTGGCCTTACTACTAGTAACAAGAAGCCACTAGTAACAAAGGGCAGCGCTACCAGGAGCAAATCCTTTACAAGTTCGTACGACTGTCCAACTGAGCCAGGGCTCTCTTGCACCAGGACTTCCACCAACAGATTTCGGATCTCCTTGGGCTGGCCACTAGCCACCAACTCTGCGATCTCTGCTTGGATCGTCGCTCGACGATGGTTTTGTTGTGGCAAGCCAGCAGAGGGGTTCCACCACCTTGGCTTCACCAATTCGAGATGTCTCAAGCCACGCATCCTGAGGTGCCCTCAAAATCCCAAGATTTGCTTTCTGTGCCTCTATCTTTTTGTCCTTGTTGAGTTCTCTTTTTGACCCTTTTGAAGCACCAAATAAGTTTTTGGAGTCTTTGCAAATCAATATGCAAGTTGGCCAGGCAGCACTCCAGCTCATTTGCTGACAAGAAATTGCCTTGAGCTCCCTACTTGGCTTTCCATTTGTTGGCCCCAATCGGGCCGTAAAACTCTTCGTACTGCCCAGGACCTTGCAAGTTGCTTCACCTTGATCCTTTTCTGATATTGGTAGCTTCTTGTTCCTAGTAGCGATGCCCGGGTTTCTAGTAGCGATGCCAGGGGCTACTGGTAGCTTCTTGTCTATTAACGACATAAACTATACGATAGCTTCCAACGATCCAATTGTCCAAAGGAAATCATTTCGTTTCACCTGCCAACTTTTCACGTGGAAAACACCTGTAAATCAGCATCTTGTTCCGGCCTGGCTCCGGAGCCCATGTCCATGAATCTCGGGAAGACTGAACCTCCGCCTTGCTGCGAGCCGTGAACAAATCATCACTCAGCATCCCAAAATATCAGGAATCAATGAAATCAATGGCTTTGTCTTGCTATCTTACCAATGAGGCAAACGCCGCTGCTTGTTTGGGGACAAAATGTCTAGAGTCTAGAGGGACCACCGTTAGTAGAGATTTGGCAGGATAAGACGAGCTGCAGAAGCCACATCCAGTCAATATCACCGAATGCCAAAAAGCACTGCGTTGCAGATTGACGTAGCAATCCCAACCAAAAACGGCAAAGCAGAATACACATCAAGCAAAAGCATTACAACGCACCAAACAGGACCAGAAATCCCCGAAAATCATAGCACATCGAGGGATCAAAGGATGCCTTGTACCAAACAACATATTGATATGATTGCTTCATCACCAAACGGCACGACAAATCCCCAATAGACTACAGTCTGGCATCACATGTCCACCAACCACTCCGCAGGGGTTGGAGATAATTTCACTGAAAAACGCCAAGCTAATTGCATCCCTTGCGAATCGTCTCTTCAACATATATTTGTACAACTATACTATACACCCATAATTGTGTATATAGTATATCATATATATATATACACACCAAATATTGGCCAAAACATGCCAAAACCATTGAACCGTCACAAAACAACTTGCCAAACTTGGAACATCCACCACTCATCGCCCTACCCTTCAACGAAGCACGCGTGTGGGATGGAAAAACTGCTGCAAGCTTGTCACGAAGCGCCTCACTGGCCGTGGAGTCCGTCAAATCATCGTCCTCGTCTTCGACCACACTGGAATCCCAAGCACCCGGCCTGGCTCAACCGATGGGCTCAGTGGTTTAACTCAACCGGAATCGAACCGAAGTTGTTGAAAGGGCGAAGCGAAGCGAATGCGAAGCGAAGTGAGGCGAGGGCACCGCTTCTCCACGAAACGTAGATCGTCTTGGCGAGGAGCCAAGCGATAGCGACTCCCCATGCCAAGACCGGCCTTGCAATTGAGTCGATCGATGTCCTTTTCCCAGCAAGACTGTAATGTAAAGCATCCAAAATGACTGGAATGCAACGCAAACCAAGAAATCTACTTGCCCCCAAAAAACAAGGTGAGCCCGCGGATCCAAAAGCAAAAGAAACGCGCAACCCAGGAAAAATAAACAAACACACATTAGCAGGCCAAAACGAAGCATCAGCCCCCTCCAGGCTTCGTGGCAACCATGGTATCTCAAGCATCACGGTTCTGGTGCGCATCCGTCCACCCCCGTCTGCCATATACACCCCCGTCCACCCCTTGGTCAATTTTTGAAAGCCCTCCAAAACGGTCATAAAACGAGTACAACATGGCTTCTAACAACCCTTCCAGGAAGCGTGGAGCAGCATCAGCTCCCTCCATGCTTCGTTCCAACCATGAAATTTGAAGCATTGCGGTTCTGGCATGCAACCATCCTGCCGTTTCGGCAATGACTTGGGCTGTCTTCGGCATACATTGCACACATTCTGGACACCCAAGACCGTCATATAGGCCGCGCCAGACAGTTCCACTCGCGCAATAACGTTCTTCCGCTTCCGCGAGGCATGGAGTAGCATTAGCCCCCACGCTTCGTTCTACTTAGCATCCATCTTCCTTCCACAGCCCCGTCCACGCCCGTCCACCCTCCCATCTCCATCCATAGCCCCGTCCACACCCATCTTCCGTCAACGAAAATGCTTGCCTCGTCTCGCTCTGCCCCCGTACTAACGACTAAACTAAACGAGAACACAAGCGTCGGAGATTCTTTTGGGAAAAGCGCGCGCGTGTGTACTGCTGTGCCAGCACTACAGTGCATCACACGCGGTAAAATGCTTTCGGGTCATTCGTCGTCTAATGTTTAATTGTTTGGCATAGATTTCCGGTGGCGTGCATCGTTGGCACGATCAGGGCGTCGATATGGCGGAGATATCCCAGGAGGAGAGGATTGATTTGTCGTTCGTTTTTCTCTGGCAAACCTTTGCGGGCTTTGATCTTAAGAATTTACACCGGCATAGACCCTAGATAGAAATTCAATATCGTTGCAGTAAGAAGAAAACAAGACGGTTCCCTTTTTTGTCGGGTTGGAGGTTGGATGAAATATATATATATATATATATACACATCAAGTGGCTGCTTTCAATCTCTGCAGCTAGTCTCCAACCCCAGTGCAACATGGCTTCTGACAACCGTTCCAGGAAGCATGGAGCAGCATCAGCCCTCCATGCTTCGTTCCAACCATCAAATTTCAAGCACTGCAGTTCTGGCATGCAACAATCCTGCCGTTTCGGTCATGACTGCGTTGTGCACATTTTGGACACCCAAGACCATCATATAAGCCCTGCAACACAGCTCCCCTCGCGTCAGAACGTGCTTCCGCGAAGCATGGAGCAGAACTACCTCCACCCATGCTTCGTTCTACTTGTGAACTGACCCGGAGCAGCCTGCAATGATGCTTGTGGTGCACCCATGTCCTCGTAACTAGCATATCAGCCGCGCAAGATCGCTCCACTCGCACAGCGACGTTCTGCCGCGAAGCATGGAGCAGCATTGGCCCCCTCCTCCCATCTCGCGCCCCTCCCTCTTCCTTCCACAGCTCCGTCCATGCACCTCCCGTCTCGCGCCCCTCCCCAGACACGTGAACACCCATGCACAACGCACCTCCCATCTCCCGCCCCTCCCTTCCTCACCCCATGCGCCTCCCGTCTCGCGCCCCTTCCACACAGCCCTGTACACACCCATGCGCCCCGCCTCGCTCCCCTCCATCTTCCCTCCCAGCCCCGTCCCCACCCATGCGCCTCCCGTCTCGCTCCCCTCCCTTCCTTCCCCTCCCTCTCCCCTTCCCAACCCCGTCCACCTCCACATACATCTTCCGTCCCCGACAACGCATGCTTTGTCTCGCTCTTCCGCGGCACTAGCGACTAAACGAGAACCCAAGCATCGGAGATGCTTTTGGGAATAGGATATATATATATATATTTATGTGTGTGTGTGATATGTTGTCGTTTTCTCGTCTCCTCTTGGTTTGTGGACACCTCTCCGTCCGATGTCCGTCCGGTCGCATGCTTTGCCTTGGAGCTGCGGATCACCGGAAGTCGCAGCAAGGAGCGGCTCATTGTCGCATATTTTTGAGAGTTGGCGAGAACAAGGGCAAGACAGTTGGTGTGTGTGCATGTGTGTGGGTGTGCGTGTGCGTGTGGGTGTGGGTCTGTGTTTTTCTCCGGAGCATTTTGAGAGTTGGTATCCGTTGGTGTTTTTCTTCTTTTGCAGGGAAGAAGTCCAGTCTAGGAGTCCAGGAGTCTCAACTCTGGAAATTGGACGTCTCAACGGTCTTTGAGTGAAGTCTGCTTTGTTGATCCATGCTACCCACATCTTTCAATGAATGGCACTGCACATTTTGATCCGAATCACTCCAACACGGCGATTGGACGCCAAGCTTTTTGTGGAATGCTCGAGCCCAAAAGGCAGCCATTTTCAGCTCGTTTGATCTGTTCTGATCTTGAAACAGCGGTCTTGGCACGTTCACCGGGTCCACCGACGGACTGGCGCCCTTCTTTTCTCCAATCCGGGGCGTGGGGTCATTGTATTGGAAGAGGGGGTACTGTTCGAGCAATGTCCTTGGCATGATCAATCTCTAAATCAAGGTCTGCTGGCAACTAAAAACAGAATTAATAAAAGAAACAAATGTCGCAAAAGGCTGGATCGGGCAATACATAATGACACACATTCGTCCTACCTTCTTATCTTTTGGAAAGCATCTCTGGACAACGTTCACACCAAACGGAATGTGCAGAACCACTACCAAGGGATACCAGCGATGTCGAGGGAAAATATGTTTGAGTCGCTTAACATGGACCGCCAAGCATCCCATACTGCTGGTCCAATCACGACTCGCATTGCCTCGGCCCAGTCTGGCCCAGTCGTACCAATCAAAACCAAGTGCACAAATACAACCGACAGTACTAGCAATGGCCTCCAACCTAACAGCGATGGCCTCCAACCTAATACAACCAGAACTTCTCAAAGAAATCAATCGTACCAACTTATCGATATCCCCTTGGGCTTGCTCGGATCCCTTGCTTGTTTGGAAGTTGCTCTTTGGTCGGCTCCAAGGAACTTTGTTGTATGCACGCATGTCATAGGCCACCCTGGCAGCTCGAGAATTCTGGATGGTTGCTTGTGCCAGCTGCCATCGTCCAGCATGTTCTTGAATACCTTCGCGCAATTTCTGCATGGACAGCTCTTGCGTGCGCAAGCCGGTTGAGACGCTCGAACCTCTTGCTGTTCCCTGCCTGTGAGGGCGGTGTAGGCCACCCGGTTGAGCTGAATCGCTCGGCTGCGAGCCTGAGCGAAGATCCTTTCGGAGCCAGATCGGCCAGGCGTTGCGAGCTTGAGGCTTTGAGCAAGCAACGAGTCAAGCGCGGTTAAGCGGGATTCCAGTCTGAGCGGGAATCATGTTTAAGGGTCAGTGCTACCCATCCTGGGGATACCATAGACCATCCTTGGCTTTGCACTCTTGGAGGTGTCCCCTCCCAACCAATAGCAAAAGGCCATCTACCGTCCCCCTCTCCTTGTTGCACGACTCCAACCATCTTGGATGGACTGGATGCCAGTCGTAGACATCATCGCCATCCTCGATTCGATCCAACGCGGCGGGGGGGGAGGGCCCTAGGTGGTTTTTTATATATATTTGTTCCTTCCAGCTTCTTGTTACTACTAGTAAGGCACTTGTTACTAGAAGCGATGCACTTGTTACTAGTAGCTTCTTGTTCCTACTAGCTTCTTGTTACTACTAGTAAGGCACTTGTTACTAGAAGCGATGCATTTGTTCCTAGTAGCGTCCTTGTTTCTAAAGGAAAAGTCAGAAAAGAAGAGGAAATGAGAAAAGTCCAGCAATGGCTTCCCTAGTAGCGATGGCCTCCAACCTAGCAATGGCCTCCAATCTAGAAAGGAAGAGAAAGGTTCAAAGAAAACAAGAGAAGAGGAACACTTTAGAGAAAGACTAACAACAAAGACGCTTCTTGCAAAGAAGAGCATCATCAAAGCCAAGTGACAAGTCTAATAGCTTTTTGTTACTACTAGTAAGGCACTTGTTACTACTAG